GTTATATAATTTAATATTACATATATATATATATTTGGAAGTTATTGCATTCTTTCTCACCTTCTCCAAGATCATGTGAAATTCTTCCTTCCTGCCTCAGAGCTGTCTCTGGGCTTGACGTGGTTGAATGGATGAACTTGATAATACCCACGTCATCTCTTTATTTACTGAGGGTGTTTGATATGCTTGCCTTGAGATTAAAATATGAAATTTTTTTGGTGGAAAAGTTATCTTTGAAAAATGAATATTTATATTCTTTGTAGTATCAGTACTAGAATTAAGACAGTTCTTGGATAAACATTAATAGGAATCCTTGAATTGACACATTAGAATCTGCTTAAATAGGCTGGGCTCACACTTGGAATCCCAGCACTTTGGGAGGCCAAGGTGGGTGGATCACCTGAGGTCAGGAGTTTGGGACCAGCCTCGCCAACATCGTGAAATGCTGTCTCTACTAAAAATCCAAAAACTAGCCGGGCGTGGTGGTGTGTGCCTGTGATCCCAGCCATTTGGGAGGCGGAGGCAGGAGAATCGCTTGAACTCGAGAGGCAGAGGTTGCAGTGAGCCGAGATTGAACCACAGCACTCCAGCCTGAGTGACAGAGCAAGACTCTGTCAAAAAAAAAAAAAAAAAAGAAAGAATCTGCTTAAATGAAAGGAAACCTGACTTCGTGCTTTCTGGGAAGTGTGGAATCTGCAGAGGCATTTTGGTGAATGAAATCTTCCTGTGCCTATCAGCCAGGCTTTCACCTGCAGAGGTGGGTGTGTGCACATTCAAACTTTGCCTGGCACATGTAGATATTTTATAACTCCAGCTGCAGACCTAACCCCTGTGGCTTGCGGGGTTCCAGGCCCAGCCTTAACTCTGTGTGTCAGGGGCTGAACTGTGTCAACTCAAAATTCCCAGGTGGCAGTTCCAACTCCCAGGACCTCAGAATAAGACTGCATTTGGAGATGGGGGTCTTTAAAGAGGGGATCACAGTAAAATGAAGTCACTAGGGTGGGTCCTGATCCACTAGGACTGGTGTAATAGGAGGTGAGGACACAGACACGCACAGAGGGACGACCCTGTGAGGACACAGGGAGAACACGGTGTCTGCAAGCCCAGGAGAGAGGCCCCAGGAGGAGCCAGCCCTGCCCACAGCTGGATCTCAGACCTCCAGCCTCCAGGACTGTGGGAGAATCAATGTCTACTGTTTCTAAGCCACCAAGTCTATGGTGTTCTGTGACAGCAGCCTGAAATGGACTCAGATACCTCATAAGAAGAGATGAGGACACAGACACACACAGAGGGACGAGCCTGTGAGGACACAGGGAGAAGAGAGCACCTCCAAGCCCAGGAGAGAGGCCTCAGGAGGAGCTAGCCCTGCCCACACCTGGATCTCAGACCTCCAGCCTCCAGGATCGTGGTAGAATTAACGTCTGCTGTTTTAGCAGCCCCCGTCTCTTGGTTTAGGCAGCCGAAGCAGGTGAATACATGTGAAATCTATGATGATAGGAAATGATGGCTGCCTCTAGCCTGTCCGAAGCTGACCACTGGCCAGGGATCTTTGGGAGGTGTTGGCAACCTGGGCAGAGATTTGGTGCCAACTGCACGCTGTTGTTCTCCAGACGCTCTCCCTCCCGTCACACCAACCACTTCCTTTGACTTCTGAAAACAAGTCTGACTTTGTTTTAGAAGAAGTCTCCCCATGCTCCCCAGAAAGTCTCCGTGACTCCCCAAAACTGAAGTGAACAGTAGGGTTCCAGGTGCACAGAGGAAAGTAGTCAAAACTCACCAAAGGTAACGCAGAGACAGCTAGTATTTCATCGCTGATGGAACCAGAACACAACCGCACCCGCCTCCTGCAAACGGCACGATCCTGAAAACAGCAAAAAGAAATATGGACAATCTGAACCAAAAAAAGGGGAAGCCGAGGCAAGACCCTCCTCCTGGGACCTGGACACGATTTCTCAAAAATCATTATTCAGAAAGAGAGAGAGGGGTGGGTGCAGTGGCTCACGTCTGTGATCCCAGGCAGGTGGATTACTAGGTCAGGAGTTCGCGACCAGCCTGACCAACATGGAGAAACCCCGTCTCTAGTATAAATACAAAAATTAGCTGGGTGTGGTGGCAGGTGCCTGTAATCCCAGCTACTCAGGATGCTGAGACACCAGGATTGCCTGAGCTGAGGTGGAGGTTGCAGTGAGCTGTGATCCCGCCATCACATTCCAGCCTCAGCAACAGAGCAAGACTCTGTTTAAAAAAAAAAAAAATGGGGGGGGGGGCCGGGCGGGGTGGCTCACGTCTGTAATCCCAGCACTTGGAGAGGCTGACGCAGGTGGATCACGAGGTCAAGAGATCGAGACCATCCTGGTCAACATGGTGAAACCCCGTCTCTACTAAAAATACAAAAATTAGCTGGCCATGGTGGTGCACGCCTGTTGTCCCAGCTACTCGGGGGGCTGAGGCAGGAGAATTGCTTGAACCCAGGAGGTGGAGGTTGTGGTGAGCCGAGATCGTGCCATTGCAATCCAGCCTGGGTAACAAGAGCGAAACTCCGTCTCAAAAAAAAAAAAAAGAAAGAAAGAGAGAAGAGAGAGGGAGGAAAGGAGGGAGGGAGGGAGGGAGGGAGGAAAGATGGAAGGAAGCGGGGGAGGGAGGGAAACGAAGGAAGCAAGGAAGGGCGAAAGAAGATGGGAGGGGCTGGCGTGGTGGCTCTTGCCTATAATCCCAGCACTTTGGGAAGCAGAGGTGGGTGGATCACTTGAGGTCAGGAGTTCAAGACCAGCCTGGCCATCATGGTGAAACCACGTCTCTATAAAAATACAAAAAATAGCCAGGTGTGGTGGCATGGGTCTGTAGTCCCAGCTACTCAGGAGGTTGAGACACAAGAATCACTTGAACCTGTGAGGTGGATGTTGCAGTGGGCCGAAGTTGTGCCATTGCATTCCAGGGTGGGCAGCAGAGTGAGACTCAGTCTTGAAAGAGAGAAAGAGAGAGAAAGAAGGAGAAAGAAAAAGAAAGAAAGAGAGAAAGAGAGACAGGGAGGGAGGGATGGGAGGGAGGAAGAGAAGAAAGAAAAAAGAGAAAGAAAGAGAGAGGGAGGGAGGGAGAAGATGGGAGGGAGGGTGGCAGTTTTCTTGAGGAGACCAGCATCATTAGTTGCTTCTCGAATTGCTATAAAGAAATAACGAAGACTGGATAATTTCCCGAGTTGTCAGGGGCTCACGGTTCTGCAGGCTGTACAGGAAGCCGGGCAGGGTGGCCTCAGGGAACTGACACTCGTGGTGGAAGGTGGAGGGGAAGCAGGCATGTCTGACATACGCAGAGCAGGAGGAGCAGACAGCGGGGAGGTGCCACATGCTTTTCAACAGCAGCTCTGACCGTCACTCACTCTCTATTGCAAGAACGGTGCCGAGGCGGGTGGCACAAATCCATTCGTGAAGGACCTGCCGCCCATCCAGTCACCTCCCAGCAGGCCTACCTCCAACACTGGGGATTTCAGTTTGACACAAGATTTATTGAGATGGAGTCTCGCTCTGTCACCCAGGCTGAAGTGCAGAAGCGTGATCTCGGCTCACTGCAACCTCCGCCTCCCAAGTTGAAGCAATTCTCGTGCCTCAGCCTCCAGAGTAGCCGGGATTACAGAAACACCTGGATAATTGTTTTGTATTTTTAGTAGAGACGGGGTTTCACCATGTTGGCCAGGCTGGTCTCGAACTTCTGATCTCAGGTGATCCACCCACCTTGGCCTCCCAAAGTGCTGGGATTACAGGCGTGAGTCACCATGGTGCCCAGTACAGACATATTTTCTTCAAGGATGCACTTATCGTTGGAAATGGTACTTTCTGACTACTCCCCTGTCTCAATGCTTTCCTTCCTGTTCCATAGAGCTCTGTGTTCTGTGTTGTGTAGTTTCATTTTCAGCCTTCCTTCGAGTTCTGCCGCTGTGTATTTAGACCCATTTCCCAGGCCAGTAAATGAAGCCCTGTAGACAAGAAACCACAGATCCCCCCTAGCAGGTGGGAGAAAAGGCCAGTCCATTGTGATGTGTGCATACATGTTTGTGTGTGCATGTGTGTGCACGAAGATGAAATATAATCATAGCCTGTGTGTGTGTGCAGTTATAAAACTGGTTTGGGGAGCAGGGTGTGAGAAGTCCCAAGTCAGAAAAACTAATCCTTGGCCGGGTGTGGTGGCTGTCACCTGTCATCCAGCACTTTGGGAGGCTGAGGCCGGCAGATCACTTGAGGTCAGGAGTTCGAGACCAGTGTGGCCAACATGGTGTAACCCCATCTCTACTAAAAACAACAAAACAGCCCCAGCTATTCAGGAGACTGAGGCACACGGATTACTTGAACCTGTGAGGCGGAGGCCGCAGTGAGCCAAGATCGCACCACTGCACTCCAGCCTGCATGACAGAGTGACATTCTGTCTCAAAAAATAAATAGAAGAACTAATTCTTAAAAATTAAAGACACATGTAAGATTTCCGCAGGGGGCTGGGAGCTACCAAGGGTTAGGTTGAAATGCGCAAAGTGGCCGCTTGGGTCCCTTGGAAATGGTCAGAAATTCGTTATTTCCTGAGCTTCCCCTGGGGAAATAAACAGAACACCTGGAGCCTGCCCCAGCAGGGAGCTCCCCATCACTCGCTCAGCCTGGCTCATGGCCTTCAAAAGATGCTTCTCATGGTGTCTGGATACAATTCGGAATTCAAAAGGCCTTTTCAATTAATTTAATTCATCTGGATACAATTCAGAAGGCCTTTTCAATTAACTTAATTTTCATTCTGCAGGTGAGAGTCTCTTGGTGCCAGCTGCAGAGTGTCTGCAGAATATTATGGAAATTCGTATTTTGAGCCAAGGAAAGGTAGCGTTAAAAACAAGAAAGAAAGAAAAGAAGGCAAAAGGCATCTGACTAAATGAATTACAAACAGATGTGTCCTAAATGCTTATCTGGGTGACCATAAATACAAAGCCTCAAAGCCTGGCCTTCGGAAGCCTCTGTTGTGTCTTTATTATGGCGGGTGACAGTGACCTGTGGCCCTCCCTGAAAGGCAGCCAGATTGCAGGCTCTGCTGGAACAGGATGGACGGTCAGAGGAGAGGCTTCAGCTGCAGTGCTGTCCAAATATCAGAGGCTGGAGGCGGTCCCGGCTAGGGCGTTTCTTTTGGAGGTAACGGGTGAAAAGCAGCAAGCTCTCGGGCAGAGGGGTGTTTGGCGTTTGAGACCCCGGTTTCTTGTCATCTCTGCTTCATCTCAAGTCGGAGTTGCTTCATGACGCCAAAGTTCCTGGCGAGCTGCAGCATCCCCTTGCTTCTCCTGCTTGCCTTGCCCTAGGGTCCTTACCCTCCCTCGACCCCAGCCCAGGACTACAGCCATGGAAAAAGAAAGTGTTGACTGGGACAGGTGCGGGAGAAAGTGTCAGGGAAGGGCCCCTGGGTGGGTAGTTCATCCAGGTTCACTACAAGAGGCGACACTTTGAAGGTGATGCTTCCATGAAGAACGACTGCATTTTTCCTCATGCTTCTACAGTGCAATTACATCGCTGGGGTTTTGCTGGCTGAAAACAAAAAAGAAAAAATTTATCCTCCTTATATGCAGGTGTGCAAGGTCAGACCGTCAGTTTTGAAGACACGCATCACTCACACAGCTGAGCTGGTCCCTGGGGTGCAGGTTTCTGACCTAGGGGCGAAGGTGGCCTAGGAAGGGGTGAGCATGGCGGCAGGCAGGGGATAGCTCAGAGCCCCTGGCCTAGCTGGCTGCACAGCAGGTGTGCCAGGCCAGGAATGGGCCAGTAAATGGCACAGGGTTTTGTAAACCAAAAATACAAGTCTTTGAGAGGCCGGGATGGGCGGATCACTTGAGGTTAGGAGTTCAAGACCAGCCTGGCCAACATGATGAAACCCCATCTCGACTAAAAATCCAAAAATTTGCCAGGCTTGGTGGCGGCACCTGTAATCCCAGCTACTCAGGAGGCTGAGGCAGGAGGATCGCTTGAACCTGGGAGGTGGACGTAGCAGTGAGCTGAGATCACGCCCCTACACGCCAGCCTGGGCGAAAGAGTAAGACTCCATCTCAATAAATAAATAAATAAATAATAAAATTCTAAGCCCCACCCCACTGCCCGCCAGTCCCACCTTCAAAACCATCTGAATGGACTTTCTCCTTAGCCACACATCTTTTAAAGTTTAACCAGAGAGACTGTTTGAGGCCGTGATGGGAAGTGCGGTGGAACAGGCCTCGTGACACCTCTGTGGTGAGAGAAAGCATTTACAGCCTCTTCTCTCTGAAGGCTGCCTGCTGAAATAAGACCTTCGTTCTCCACAATCGTTTACCTTCATTCAGACATTCCTTTCCACTGATCCCCGGTCTTTACAGAAACGCAAGCAATTGTCAATCGGAAAGCTCTAAAATCTACCTATAAGCTGGAAGCCCTCCTGCTTCCAGTTGCTCTGCTTTTTCAGATAAACCAATGTGTGTCTTAAATGTATTTGATTGCTGTCCCATGTTCTCAGGACCTCCTGAGGGCTGTGTCACAGGTCGTGGGCACTCATATTTGGCTCAGAATAAATCTTTTCAAATATTTTACAGAGTTTTTTTTTTTTTTTTTTTTTTTTGAGATGGAGTACTCAGTCTGTCACCCAGGCTGGAGTACAGTGGCCTGATCTCTGCTCACTGCAGCCTCCACCTTCCCGGTTCAAGCGATTCTCCTGCCTCAACTTCCTGAGTAGCTGGGACTACAGGTGCAAGCCACCACACGCAAGACGGGGTTTCACCACGTTGGCCAGGCTGGTCTCAAACTCCTGACCTCAGGTGATCCGCCTGTCTCGGCCTCCCAAAGTGCTGGGATAACAGGCGTGAGCCACCGTGCCCGGCCTAGCTGGACTCTTTTTGCGGGCAGTTTGAAGGGTGGAATGCAAGAATACTCGTGGGCCATTTGAAGGGTGGAATGCAAGGGTGGGATGCTTCTCAGGCTGCAAAGTTGTTCCGCTGCACTGCAGGAAAATGGATACATTTTAGGCTTAGGTGTTCACAGAAAGCATATTGTTAGTGTGGGGAAGCCTGCACTGCAGCTGTGGCCGGCAGCGCGACGGGGATCTCTAGACTCAAAGCCCACTGGAAGGCGAGTAGCCGGTGACCAGGGCTAGGGCCCATTTGCCCCGGAGACAGAGGCGACCGAGTTCCCTATTGTGCCCCACTAATCCCCGTGACCAGGAGTCCTCACTCCCAACCTTGTCCTGGGGTTTTATTTTTGGGGGGGGGGTGGTTAAACTGCCTGAGCGCAGAGGCACCTCCAAGGGTCCTCGCTGGTCCTGTGCAAAGGGCGTGTCCGGCCCTGCCCCCGCCAACCCTCCTGGGTTCCGCCCCGGCTCGGATGCTCTAGAAAGGACGTGGGGTGGGGGTCGCCTGTGGAGGCGGTGGGGGCCCACGCCTTCCTGAGCAGGGAGAGAATTGCTCTTTTCTCCTCTTGGGGATTCCCCTGAGATCCTCACGAGCAGCTGGGAGGGGCTCCCATACTTTTCCCAGCAGGGGAGTCTGGAGAGTGTCCTTTGCTCCCACTGCAGATCAGAGGAAGGTCCCTGTTAGGGGCGGAGAAGGGGCTGCAGGGGCGAGTGTGGTGGGCTACGTGTTTCCAAGAAGGGCTGCAGTTTCGTGTCGCTGCAGGTAGAGGCGTGCATTTAGGGGGTGTAGAGAGGGCGGGACCCGCACTTTCCCAAGCAGGGGACAAAGTTTCTTTTGCTCCCACTAGAGACAGGGGTGTGGGGGTGCGAGTGTTGGGGTGGGATGGGGGTGGGTGAGGGGTCCTTGTGAAAGGGGCGGAGAAGGGGCTGCAGGGGCAAGTAGGGGGAGTTACAGGTTTTCAAGAAGGGCGGCAGTTTTGTGTTGCTATAGTTAGAGGCGTGCATTGAGGGAGTGTAGGGAGGGAGGGGCTCCGCACTTTGCTGAGCAGGAGACCTGGAAGTTTCTTTTGCTCCCACCACTGACCTAGGGGCGAGGGGGTACTTGTGCAGGAGGCGGAGAATAGGCTGCAGGGGCGAGTAGGGAAGGGATTTGGGGGCTACAGGTTTCCAAGAAGCGCGGCAGTTTTGTGCCACTATTCTTAGGGGCCTCCCTGGGGCGTGCAATTTACGGGGGTGCAGAGAGGTGGGGGACCTGCACTTTCCTGAGAATGTTGGATTTCTCTTTGCTCCGGGTCGGCGCCTCCTGGGCGTCCTGGCGACGGGCTTGTGGGTGTGGGGACTCCACAGTTGGCTGGGAAGGGGGGGTGTCCCTTGCTCCCCTCGGCCCCGCCCGCCTCCGTCTCGGTCCCCTCCCCCAGCCCGGCGTTCCCGCCTCTCCAAAGCGCGCCGAGGCCGGGGTGGGGCGGGGCCGGGCTGGCGCTGCCAGGACTGAGCCTGCGGGGCGGCTCCCCTCACCCGCTCACTTCGTGTCCTTCCGAGCTCCGCCCCACACGGCCCGGGGGTGCCAGTCCCGCTGCCGCCGCCGCCGCCCGCGCGCTGCACTCGGGAGCGTCCCTGCGCGCACTGGGCGCACCATGGCCCGCGGGTCTGCGCTGGCGCTGCTGCTGCTCCTCGGCCTGCTCGGCGCTTTGGTGGCCGCCCCGGGTGAGCCAGCAGCGGGATTCGGGTGCGGGGGGACTCGGGGGGCGCAGGCCGGGCCTGGGGATCCGCTTGCGGGCGCGGAATTGGGGAGCGCCCCGCAAGGACACCGGGACCCCAGTCCCTAACCGCGGCGGGACGCGCTGTAGCCAGGGGGGCCCAGGCATGGAGGAGGCGCCCACTTTCTCCCCCAGTTCTCTCCCTGGGGCCGGGTGGGAGTCGCATTCCAGAGGGAAGAGGTCAGCGTTTGTTGTCGGAGGCGCAAACTCTTAAATCTGGGGGGGGCCTTGGGAGAGGTGGCGTTTCATTCTTTCTAATCCCGGCGACTTTCTAGCGGATCTCTGCCTATTGGCATCAGCCCTGATCCCACCCCGCTCTCTCCCACCAGGGTCTGGGACTTGCGTCTTTAGGCCGCGCGCGGAGGCCGCCCTGGAGTCGCCTCTCGGAGCCACGCCCTGCGTCCCGTGCCTAAATTTGGAATCGCTGGGAGCCGGGAGGATGGGGGGAGGGGAAGGAAAAGTTGGAAACAAACTTGGAGCCCTGAAACTGTTAAACAATCCTGTGTGGATGCAGGCCCCGGGAATTCCAGAAAGAAACGCGTGGTTACCAAATTGTCCATCTGTAGCGCTGGAGACTTGGGAAAACAGAAAAAGTATCAAAGAGGCGGGAGCCACGGCCGCCTTCCCGCGCCCTAAACCGGGCCTCGCTCTGGTCATTATTTACTCGTGTTTTTCTGTTTCCCTCGCGTCGAAAGGGAAACCGGGACCCCGCTGGGTGTGATCTTCTATCAATTCCACTAGCCGGTGCGTTTCTGCCCCTTCCTGTGGGCAGGCTTTTAAGAAGAGCGGCTTGCAGGCAGTGTAGACTTGACCGGCCTCATCAGGGCTGGACGAATTGAGGAATGAGAGGCGGGAACGCCCAGCTCTGGGAGGGCAGAGGCGGCCCGGTTTGTGCCGCGAAATTTCCTGCTGGTGTTGATGGGATCCAGCTCAGCCCGGAGCTGCGGTGACGAGGCCTGGTCTCTGTTTTTAGGGAGGAGCTGCAAATGGGTTTACACGCTCTTTAAACGCGTCCCGGGTATCCTGGAAATTGTGCTTTCACTTGGTAGAATTGACAGACTGTAGCCGGCTCGGTTTTGGAAAACTTGGAGGCGTTTACACCCCGCAGGGAGGTTCCAAACACGGCTTCCTGTTTCTTTTTTCCTTAGCAGGCTGCCGCCGCCGACGGGACTGCTCTGTAGGGTTTGATCAGCTGCATTTGCTCGCAAGGCGCCTGCAGAAGGGCGTTGCACTCGTCTCTCTGCTAACGCATTTCTCCATCCTTAGGGACCCCGAGACTGCTGAGACTTTGCGTCCAGGGAAGGGTGGCTGCATAGGGCGCGGGAGGGTGGGGAGGACAGCGGCCAGGGAGATAGCAGGGGCCGGTCTGTCCTTCCAATCGCAGAGGAAGGCCGGGCATTCAGCGCTGCTGTATGTCCTTGGGGGACCCTTCTCACCCCCGCTTTCCAGTGCCACCCTACTAGAGATGGAGATGGAAATCCCCTGTCCCGGTCATATTAATACACGTGTTGTTTCATCAGGAAACTTCACCTTTGAGTTGGTGATGCATCAGGCTGCAAAACCCCACGGAGCCTAGGGGGAGAGTCTCACACAGATGCCAACAGTCCTGGCCTGATCTCAAGCGTTTTGGGGACCCAGGCCCCTGTATTCCTTGGTGTCTTCATAAATACTCGGGCATAGATGTGATGGATGGAGGAGGGGGGAGGCTGCAGAGGAAACGAGGAGGCACCAGCTTTGGAGAGGAGAACTTCCCCCCAGGGTGAGGTTGGCCCTCAGGAGACGTGGGACCTGCCACCATCGTGCCGTGGAAAAGGCTGCTCAGGGAAGCCTCTCAGAATCCTTTGAGGCCCAGAAATTCATCTGGTGTCAAGTGCCAGTCGTTTTGAGGGTTGAAAACCAGGAGGAAGGCTTGAGAGTTGTATGTATGTGCAGATTCAGGGCTGGCCCGCGGTTGGGAGCGTCGGTAGAACACACCTCCTGCATCCCTGCTCCCCAGAAAAGGCTGTTTTGACCCCGGCAGGCACAGCAGCCTGGGCAGTTTGAAAAACTCCAAACACCAAGGTGAGCCCACATCTGTGGAACAATACCGGGTGTCTTCAGGATTCCTTCACCCCAGCAGAGCAAGCCTGTGCTTCGCTTTCTCGGCCTCTCCCAAGTTCCTGTCTCCTGCCCCTGGGCGTGTGTAGAGGTTGTAGGGAACGTTTCTGCAACGTTTCTGCCTTCTGGGCAGAGGAAGTGGGTTTTCTCCTCCAGCCAGTTTGCCTTGATTTTCCCAGCATTTGGCTCGGGTAAAAGTCGATTGTTTTGCATTTAACTGCCTGCTTTAGGGCCGGGCGAGGTGGCTCACGCCTGTAATCCCAGCACTTTGGGAGGCCAGGGCCAGTGGAATCACATGAGGCCAAGAGTTCAAGACCAGCCCGGCCAACGTGGGAAACCCAGACTCTACTAAAAAGACAAAAATTAGCCTGGCGTGGTGGTGCACGCCTATAATCCCAGTTACTTGGGAGGTTGAGTCAGGAGACTTGCCTGAGCTTGGGAAGCAGAGGTTGCAGTCAGATGAGATCGTGTCACTGAACTCCAGCCCGTGCGACACAGAGAGACTCAGTCTCAAAAACAAACAAACCAAAAATCTCCCTGCATTAACTCTTTCTCCTTTCTCTGTCTGTGAGACACAGTTTTCATGTAAGGACAAATAAGTGTCTTTACACTTTGGAGATATGCAAGAACCTGATTTTTCATTTGTTTGTTTGGAAGTCACTTTTCTTCTTGAAGGCCCTACGGTGGTTACATGCTGTCATTTAGGAAGAAATGCAGCTCATACGACACTTTCACCAATTCAGCACTTAGGAATCATGGCAGGATTTCATGGATAAGGTCCGGAATGCTTTCTAACTTCGATATCTTTTTCCCAAGGGAGTTGGACTTCTCACTAGCCACATGGAGCTTGTGGTGCTTTTCAGTCGGGCTGAACATTTTCAGATCACTCTCGTTACTTTAGGGGAAAAGAATCGTGTCCTTTGTGATTTATAGACATGGTAAGAAATAAGACCTATGTGTCTTTAGGGGTGCAAAGGAAGAAAAGTTTGGTTTTGTTTTTTTATAGATGGAATCTCTGTTGCCCAGGCTGGAGTGCAGTGGCACCATCTTGGCTCATGGTTCAAGCAGTTCTCTTGCCTCAGCCTCCTAGTTAGCTGGGATTACAGGCATGCAACGCCATGTCTGGCTAATTTTTGTATATTTAGTAGAGATGAGCTTTCGCTATGTTGGCCAGGCTGAAAAATATTTTTTTGAGGTTGGATGTCTTGCTCTGTTGCCCAGACTGGAGGGCAGGGGTTCAATCACGGCTCACTGCAGCCTCCACCTCCTGGGCTCGAGCAATCCTCCCACCTCAGCGTCTGCAGTAGCTGGGACTACAGGGACACACCACCATGCCTGGCCACTTTTACGTTTTTTTGTAGAGACAGGGTCTTGCTATGTTGCCCAGACTGAAAAAAAACTTTTTTTTTTTTTTTGAGACAGTCTTGCTGTGTCACCCAGGCTGGAGTGCAATGGCAGGATCTTGGCTCACTGCAACCTCTGCCTCCTGGGTTCAGGTGGCTCTCCAGCCTCAGCCACCCGAATAGCTGGGATTTCAGGTGTGCTGGTGCACACCTGGCTAATTTTTGTATCTTTAGTAGAGACAGGGTTTCACCCTGTTGGCCAGCCTGGCCTCGAATTCCTGGCCTCAAGCGATCTGCCCACCTCAGCCTCCCAAAGTGCTGGGATTACAGGTGTGAGTCACCTGAAAAATCATTTTTAAAATCAACTGTCCTACATTTTTACTTGGAAGGGACTCCTGTGACCAAAGACAGCTTAACAAGGGGAAACAAAGCAAACTTTGTCATGTGCTTTTCATTGATACATGGGGGAGACCCAGGCATGGGTCTTTTTCAAGGAGGGGGGTTGGAATTCTAGCTGCTCTAGTGTCCTCAGCAAAGAACAGTCCGTTTTTAGAGCACTGGCAAGAGAAAGACAAAGGACTTTGAGTCTTCGGGGGAGAGAATGAGATGGCAGGGAAGCTTCCCCATTCCGAGTCCTGAGGTTCAGCATCTGAGCTCGTGAGGTTTTATTTTCACCTGTCGTCAGAGGTTCAGTGGTTCACCCGTGTCCTCCCTGCTGGGGAGGTGGGTGGGATTGCTTGTGAATGTGCTGTCCTGGTGCTGCTCTACGTAGCTGCAGGCTGCACGCTGTCCAGGGCTTGAGGGTTTGCTGCTCTTCTTTTTTGATTGAGTCCAGTCTCTTGGCTGAAACACGGTTATTCACCAACATTTCTAGTACTGTTTGTCCAGCAGATATCTTTCACATCTCTAGAGACCAGAAGGACTTCCTCTTCTTGAATTTCCTGTTGGGTATTCTTTCTTGGCATGGTTCCTTGGCGAGTTTTGGGGAGATGGCCATGGGCGTGTTTTTCGGGTTTGTTTTTAGAATGACTCAGTGTTGCCACCACGCCCCGCCTCGTGCGGTCTCATAGTCATCGCAAGAACATTTCCCCCGAGCAGGAAGCCAGAAACTTCCTTTCTTCTCCCCCCTGAGTCAGATTCAAACCAGCGTTTTTCAAGTGGGCTGTCAAAGGAGTGTGCAGCCACCAGCCTTGCAGAGAAAATTCATCCGAGGAGGGGAGAAAATCCACGCAGCGTGTGGGGAAAGCCTTGCTGAAGGGGCAGGACGGGCAAAGCCTGTTTCCGCGCTGTCCGGGTGGGCTGGGCTGAGATCGAAACCCTGTTTGTCAGCGCAGGCGGCAGCTGGATGAGTTTGAAAGCGGCTGCAAACCCCTTTAAAGCACTTTGCTTTCTCAACTTTGAGTGGTGTTCTAGGCTGGGGTGGGTCCTCTGTTTTTGAGAAGCACCTGGAAGAGTGCTTTGCTGCGGTTTTTCGCGGAGCAAAGCCGTTTCTCTGAGGGCACGGTTT